GCTTGAGGGGCACTGGAGGAGGGGTGAGGCCGCGGCGGGCGGCCTTGGGTGCCAGCGCTTCCTCTTTCTCTGGTCCCTTCTGACTCACCCGTGGGCCCAGCCTGTCCCGGGTTTCCCTGGGCGCGGGGGGCCCGCGAGGCCTCGTCCCCGGGTGTGGGCGCCTCCTACAGCCAGCGGGGTTCTTTTCGTCTCCTGGACAGTTACCCGCCGCGGCGGAGGCGGCGCCTTCCGGCCTTGGAGGGTGGTGGAACCCGGCGGGGATTGGCACGGCTCCGGGTGGGCCCTTGCTGCTATGACGGGACCAGTGTGGGCGTGCAGGTGACCCGCAGCAGGGACAGTCGCGTGTGCAACTGCCTGGCTGGTAGACCGCGCAAAGGATACTGGAAGTGCTCCGTGTTTTGAGGCGGGCTCTCCCCCCGCGCCCCAGCATTCTGAAAACAATTGTTTTTTTTTTTTAAAAGTAAAACTTAATCTTGGGAATTCTAAGTTTCTTGCAGGGAGTTGTTACTATGCCTTAAAAATTTTGACTTTTTCGACCACATGCTCTTAGAGCATTTTTGCTCTTTTAAAATAAATACTGTACTAGATAAATTTTGTGTTCAACGTGACTTTAGTGATTGTGTGTGTGTAGTGTGAGGAAAAAGGAATTAAGGGTGGCTGTACACAGAATCTTGAGTTGGTTTGCCTGTGGTTGAATCTACTCTTCGGTTTATAAGCTGTGGGACTTGAGACAAGTTGAACGTATTTCATCAATAAGATGGAGTTGTTTTTTTTTTTTTATAGGAGCATGTAGGATAATCCATGTTGAGCGTTTAGGGCAATGCTTGGCACACAGTAAGCACTAAATGAATGTTGATGTTAAAAAGAATCAGTCATTCTGACCTGTTGTGGGCAAGGGCCTATAAGAATAAAAATAAGTGAGGTAATTTAAAAAAAAATCCCCCAAACTCAAAGAGGATCAACACATAATTGTATCTTTTGTCATATACTAGGCATTTGTTATCTTAATTTGTGCTCCCAACAACCCTGTGGGACATCCGGAGAAATTAAAGATACATATTCAAGTATCTTTATTCAAGTATCTTTGGTAGTGGGTCTGATTTAGTATTTTTTAGGAATAGTGGAGTATGTTACAGCCTGTTTCTCCAGAGAAGAATGGGTACCTACAAATTGCTGGTGTAGTCATGAACACATGTGGTGTCCGAATATAAAACAGAACCTTATTAAGTGTTTTTGTACCCTTGAAATTGATACGACGCCCCCCCTCCCATGGCAAATGGGTTTTATTTATTTTATTTTTATGATTCTTTATTGTTTAAAGTATTAGATAACACTTTTTTTTTTTAAAGCAGGTTTAGCCCTAACCAGTTTGGCTCAGTGGATAGAGCCCAGGTTCGATTCTGGTCAAGGGCATGTACCTTGGTTGCGGGCACATCCCCAGTGGAGGGTGTTTAGGAGGCAGCTGATTGATGTTTCTCTCTCATCGATGCTTCTAACTCTCTATCCCTCTCCCTTCCTCTCTGTAAAAAATCAATAAAATATGTTAAAAAAAAAAAAGACAGTGGAGGGCACCCTCAAAGGCTCTAAGGGAGAACCATTCCTTGCCTTTAAAAACAAAAAAACAAAACAGGTTTAAAGCTTTCATGAGATTGTTTGTGGGCACCCTTGCTCCCCAAAATTAAGAACCGCTGTTCTAGACAGAAGTTAGAATGTTCTTTGAATTACCTAGCTTTTCTATCACATAAAGAGGGTTGGAGGCAAATTTTTAAGGATTGGTTATTATGGCCATCTCTCTTTTACATTTATTTATTTATTTTTAAAAATATATATATTGATTTTTTTACAGAGAAGAAGGGCGAGGGATAGAGAGTTAGGAACAGCAATGAAAGAGAAACATCGATCAGCTGCCTCCTGCACACTCCCTACTGGGGATATGCCTGCAACGAAGGTATATGCCCTTCACTGGAATCGAACCTGGCACCCATCAGTCTGCAGGCGGACGCTCTATCCACTGAGCAAAACTGGTTAGGGCTCTCTTTTACATTTAAAGAGTATTATTTTAATCAGATGTTTTTCTTCAAACAATGAGAAATAGTTTACTTTAGAGCCTGGTGATTTCAGTGGCCCCAGTGGAGGGTGTTTAGGAGGCAGCTGATTGATGTTTCTCTCTCATCGATGCTTCTAACTCTCTATCCCTCTCCCTTCCTCTCTGTAAAAAATCAATAAAATATGTTAAAAAAAAAAAAGACAGTGGAGGGCACCCTCAAAGGCTCTAAGGGAGAACCATTCCTTGCCTTTAAAAACAAAAAAACAAAACAGGTTTAAAGCTTTCATGAGATTGTTTGTGGGCACCCTTGCTCCCCAAAATTAAGAACCGCTGTTCTAGACAGAAGTTAGAATGTTCTTTGAATTACCTAGCTTTTCTATCACATAAAGAGGGTTGGAGGCAAATTTTTAAGGATTGGTTATTATGGCCATCTCTCTTTTACATTTATTTATTTATTTTTAAAAATATATATATTGATTTTTTTACAGAGAAGAAGGGCGAGGGATAGAGAGTTAGGAACAGCAATGAAAGAGAAACATCGATCAGCTGCCTCCTGCACACTCCCTACTGGGGATATGCCTGCAACGAAGGTATATGCCCTTCACTGGAATCGAACCTGGCACCCATCAGTCTGCAGGCGGACGCTCTATCCACTGAGCAAAACTGGTTAGGGCTCTCTTTTACATTTAAAGAGTATTATTTTAATCAGATGTTTTTCTTCAAACAATGAGAAATAGTTTACTTTAGAGCCTGGTGATTTCAGTGGAATATTGATTAACTTTGGAACTCATGATGGCATTCGTTAAACTTGCCTCTAAGTGAAATGACAAAAATGGGTGCTTTGGATAACAGAAGGGAGGTGGTGGAGGCAGCTGTCAAGAGTAGAAAGACTAGTATTTACTTGGCTCCCATTTGGCAGAGACTGGCCCTGTGTGAACTGATCATGCTTTCTAGGTTGTCCTATTTCTGGAGTGAGGTGGTGGGTTCATATTCTCAGATTTTCCCTTGCTGCCATTTGTTCATCTCTTTTGTTTTGCCATTTTTCTTCTTCTTTACACCAGCCCTTGTTGAAATTTTCACTTGTGCTTCTTTAATTTTTATTTTTCCACATGGCTTCTATTTAGTTTTTTAGATTTCTGTCAAGTTTGCTTTTCATTCCAGACCCCTGATTCCTACTCCTCAGAAGCAATTTGACAACTCTTAGTTGTTTGCCCTACCATTCAGCTGTACTTCTGAATAACGTGTATACTTTTTTTTTTTTTTTTACAGAGAGGAAGGGAGAGGGCTAGAGAGTTAGAAACATTTATGAGAGAGAAACATTGATCAGCTACCTCCTGCACACTCCCTACTGGGGATGTGCCTGTAACCAAGGTACATGCCCTTGACAGGAATCGAACCTGGGACCCTTCAGTCCGTAGGCTGACACTATCCACTGAGCCAAACCAGTCAGGGCAGTGGTTCTCAACCTTCCTAATGCCACGACCCTTTAATACAGTTCCTCATGTTGTGGTGACCCCCCAACCATAAAATTATTTTCACTGCTACTTCATAACTGTAATTTTGCTACTGTTATGAATCGTAATGTAAATATCTGATATGCAGGATGTATTTTCATTGTTACAGATTGAACTTAATTAAAGCATAGTGATTAATCACAAAACAATATGTAATTATATATGTGTTTTCCAATGGTCTTAGGTAACCCCTGTGAAAGGGTCGTTCAACCCCCAAAGGGGTCCTGACCCACAGGTTGAGAACCACTGGGTTAGGGCAACATGTATACTTTTATTTCTTGATCTTCTTTCCATTTTAGACACATTCTGCTCTGTTCCTCCAGATATCTGCCCACAGATGTTTTTTCCCACCCCTTGCTCTTCCAGAACTGTTTCTGTAATTTTTAGTTAAATGAATATTTAGTGTTTATATAATTACGAGAAAGTATATGTCTTTGAACTTGAGTTGTCTTTATTGTGTTATTTTTTTCTGAAGTTAACAATTGGTTTGTTTTTTCGTGTGTTTAGCTTTCTGTGATGTATTATTAATTCTTTACTCAAACCCAATTTAAACTCTCAAGTGTGATCAAACAATTCACATCACCCACAATTTCAAGTTAAAAAACATTTTTTTTTAAATGTATTCCTTCTGGAGCACTCTTGTTTTACTGCTCCAGCCTGGAGTGGTTTCTGTTTCTCTGCTACACAGCTGTGTTCCTGGGACTTTTCTTTTATCATCATTTTGAGGAATCACTTTTCTGTGTTAGACTTTTGGTTTCTTGTAACTCTTGTCCTCTTACTTCCTCTGTTTTGTTTTAGCACAATCTCCAGTTTGCTTTGAGAAGGAATGAGGGGGGATTTTTTTTTTTTATAATTAAATCTTTATTGTTCAGATTATTACATTTGTTCCTCTTTTTCCCCCCCATAACTCCCCTCCTTCCAGTTCCCACCCCACCTTCCGCCCTCACTCCCCACCCACTGTCCTCATCCATAGGTGCACGATTTTTGTCCAGTCTCTTCCCGCATCTCCGACACCCCTA